AACCTTCTTACAAAGACCAAATGAGGCCATGCCCCATAAGCACACATTAACTATCTCATCAACAAACAGATCCTTGCTGAATGTGACAATTCACTCCGGGTAGAAGTTCCCTGAGGGCAGGAACTGGGCTTCTGGCAACTGTCTAGCCCCCATGTCACTTTGCACACAGTATTCACTAATCAAACACTCAGTGATTTTTAAAAATATGCTGGGTAAGGAATGAACAAGATAAACAGTCTACATCTCCATGAAGCTAATAAACTAGTGACACCAACAGACAGGAAACAATTTGTCAGAAAAATAGATAACAGTAGTTAGGGACAGGAAAAAGCAGCAATGGAGTGCGGGGGGATAGAAAGCTAACAGATGAGGGGGCTTTAAATAGGGGAATGTGCTATTTGAGTCAGGATCTGAATGATGAGGAACCAGCCATGGAGCAATCTGGAAGCCAAGTATGGAAGGGAGAGGAAAAAACAAGCACCAAGTCTGAACCGAGGATGGCCTGGTGGGAACACAGCAATCCAGGGGTCAGGCTAGTGATTTTCAGACCCGCAGGGGATACTTGGCAACGCCTAGAGACATTTTTGAGTGATTGTCAAGCCTGGCGGACGTTGCTAGCATCTGGTGGGTGGAAAACGTGGCAAAATGCACAGGACAGCCCCCACCACAGAAAATTATCCAGCCCCAAATTGTCAGCAGCCCTGCTGTTGAGAAACCCTGGACCACATCGTGCGATGGACTTGGGTTTTATTCTGGGTGCCTCGGAGAACCAGGTAAAGCAATGACGAAAGGCACTGACGAGGTCAGATTCATCTCTAAATGATTCCTCTCGCTGCAATGGACAGGAGGGCAAAGTCCAGGGTGGAGGCGGTGGGGGTGGCCTGAAAGGGTCGGAATCAGGCCAACGTTGTGGAGTAGCAACGGGAGGCCTCGGTGATGGGCTGAGAGGGTAGGGTGGGCTGGGGCGGGAGAAAGGGAGGTATTGAGACCGATTCCTAAAGGGGAAACCGAGAAGTGACGTCCTCGGTGACGTTGGGGAGCAAGCCTCAGCTCGAAGATGAACCAGCCCCTCCCGACCCCGGGCAGCACCCCAGCCCCAGGAGGGCAGCCCCACCCGCACAGCGGCTGAGCTCTGGCCGACGGGCAGAGCCCCGTAGCCGCCACCACCAGCATCAACACCA